GGACCAATCATCAATTTTCCCTCCATAATTATGAAGGAGTAGCCTGGTGTTTCTTTTTTTTTTTTCTTTTAGAAATTGAGTTGATAAGTTGCAAATTACGCAGGTTTTTTATTGTTTTATAGAAATTAGATTAATTACTTTCATAATGAAATTAGTATTAAGTGTTTCAGTTTTAATGTTTTAGGGATTATATTGTGCAGTTTGCTAAATAAACAAGATTAGTTTTGCCGTTTTCAAAAACTAATTAATATGTTTATTGGTATTAGTAGGCTAAAAAACTGGTCGCCCTTGAGGCTCCTTAAGGGTCTATTTAGTCTTAATGAAGATTGAGTCGAATTCTAGTTCAAAATCGATTTCAAAGGTTAATAAATCTCTATTTGCTTTATTTAAAGAACTACTTATCCATATTGAGTTAAACAACATCAAAACATGATTCCAAATTTTAAATTGGTGATTAATTTATAAATCAATGATATGATCCAATTTAAAATGAACCAAATCATCAATTTCATCTTAAAAAGGTTTTAAAACTTCATTAAAATCTCAAAGTTTCCAATAAAAAGCTTGACAGTTTTTTTTTAATCTAAAACACTGTTGTTTTATTTTGTTTTTCGTTCAGAAAACCATTTCTTTTATAAAACCACATATTTCTTAGTTTTTTTTTTCTTTTCAGAAAAGACACTCAGTATAAAAAAATAAAAAAATAAAAAAAAACCATCTTTTTTAAGAAAAATAATACTAACACAACATAAATTATAAGCATTTAAAAGAGTTTATTAACGGCTAGAGTTGGGGGTGGCAAATTGAACCACGTGATAAAGTTTTATGTAACACGAATACTACACGATAATATAAAATAATAATTAATTTATTTAATTAATATTTAATCATACAAAAAACGACAAACAAAGGTTAAATTATGTTAATTTCGTATCGAAATTTGAACATGAACATGACACGGAATCGTGTTTTTTACACTTGATACGAACACAAATTTGAATTTGAATTTCGTCTCAATTTCGTTCGCGCCGTTATTTTTATCATGTCGTGACATCAATTGAAACACCTAGCTAGGAGTGAGAATTGATTTGTGTTTGAATAAAATGGAAACTGAACCTTTTTCTTACTTGAAATTTTTTATTTTTTTTACTTTGAAATTTCCGACTTTTATATATAAAAAAGCCAACTAAATAGAAATATATAATTTTTTTGGATAACTATATCCTTTCGTTTATTTTTTTCTTGATTCTTACATATAAGAAAACAAACTAAACCGAAATAATTGGCTTTTTAAATAATTGATTTGTTTCGTTTCTTTTTTAAGTTGTATATATAAGAAACCAAACTAATCTGAAATAATTGGTTTTCCTTTTTTTTTTTGGTATGATTTTTGTTTTTTGAATTTTTGAATTTTTTATTTTGATTATTTATTTATTTATTTTTGCAAATTGTGCTATTTATCTATAAGTTTTATATAACACTTTTTCAAAGATATTCATGATTTCTGTTGAAATTTAATGTGAATTTATTAACGATATATGAGAAAGAACAATAGAAATGTAAAGTTTCATTTAAAAAAAAAAAAAAAAAAAAAAAAGGAACCGAAACAGGAAAACCCATAACTTTGTATACTCAAATTTAAAAACCAAAAAGTTTTAGTGTGGTTCGAGTTTTTGTAAAAAACAAACCGTTCTCACTCTCGTAAGATAATAAATTTCGTTCACTGAAAAAGTTACATTCTTTTTTAATAAAAAAAACATCATTATAAAAACCGGAAAAACAATTATCTCATTTTAGTTTGCTTTCTTACATATAAAAATCGGAAAAATAAAACTAACCAAAATACCTAAACTACATTGTTTTCTTTTGAAGCAAACCGAAATTTTCAATTCGTTTATCGTTTGCCCAAATCAATTCATACATATTGTTGTTAACAAACTTTGTTCCATGTTTAGAAATTTTTTAATATGTGCCCTAAGATGATGGGGTATGGAGGATGTTTGTACGCGTAAATAGTGACGTGGAGGGGGGTATTCACGCGTGAACACCGCCGCCCTCCATGGTGAATGTGACGTGGATTGAGATGGGTCACGGATGATTACAGAAACTTTGATTGGTTACCTCCAAATTGAATGCATTCTCATTGGTTGTTCACTAGTGAACATCATTTCCACCCTATAGTGAATGAATGGTGAAAAATGATTGATGATGATGTGGCAGCCCTTTAACGCGTAAAATCTCAAAACCATACTTCATAGCCTAAGGGCACATATAAGAAGAATTAATTGAAATATTAATTATAAGAAATATTATCAAAATTAAATGTGATAAACATTAATTATAAATAATATTCTTTATAATTAATGTATTTTACATTTAATTAGATAATATTTTATATTATCACATTTAGTTTTGATAATATTGTTTATAATTAATATTTTAATTAATAATTTTTTTATATGTGCTACATATTCGAAAATTCCAAAAATTTGTATTATGGGAAAAAAAATCTAAAAAAAGATGTTTATTGAAAGAAAAATTTTGATATGAATGGTTTTTATGAAAAGTTTAAGAAATATAAATGTTTTTTTTAAACAAAAAATAAATTAATAAGTTTTCAGATAAAACCTTTAAAAAATTATGATATTTCTGATTTAAAAAAATAAAATATTTTCTGATAAAACAACAATCAAACTACCCAAAACTATAAGAGATCATTTGTCTAAATTAAATTACTTTGGAACCAAGAAACATCAAATTTTGCAATAAAATAGAAGGAGAATGTGGGCATGTGACCACTTGTTAATTATGGACATGGGAACGTGATCATCATCGTCACGCTTAATCACTTTGCGTTCCCATTTCTGATTTCCCCCACTCTCTACCTCCCCACGCCTCGCCTGGACAATAGACCTGCACTTTTTTTTATTAAGTGATTATTTTTTTTATATAATAAAATAAGTATTATTTTATAAACTTTGCAGTTTGAAAAAGAAAATAATTATTTTGTAAAATAGTTTTTATAAAAGCAAAATGTCCTTCGCTTCAAAAACTTAAAAAAGTTATATTTTTAGTGGACCCTTTTTGAAAGAATGATGTGTCGTAAAAATCACTTTATGAAATATATACTTATTTTGTTATATATGTTCAAAAGATGGTACGTATAATACAAAACCTCTATTTTTATCATTTTTATGTTTAACTATATATTTTATAAAGAATAAACCTTAAAATTCAAAACTATTTGAAATAACTTTCAATAGCTTTTACGAGTTTTAGAACTTTTAACTTTTATATTATTTTACAAATTACAAGTTTTTAACTTTTAACTTTTATATTATTTTACAAATTTGAAAGGTTTAAAATCTAATTTTTTTTAAATATTTTTATATAAATAGAAACTATAGTTATGAGCTTATTAGTATTGATTTATCAAACATATATTTAAGATCATATTAGGGGTGTTTGATATGTTTCTAGGACTCATAAGAGACTAAGTGAGCAAGTGTTATTCGATTAGATTCAGACCATTTGATATCATAGTTATAATAGTATTGTTTTTTCAGTATAAAAAGTATCATTAAAGTATACTATTTGTATGTAGAATACCAACGAAATACATATATGTTCAAATAAAAGCTTATGGTAACCGGTTTTTTCAGGTAAATGGAAAAACGACTTAAAAATGTAACGAAGTTTCCAAAATATTCAAGAAATATCATTGTTTTTTTAGTACAAAAAACATCATTGAAGTATATCATTTGTAAACATAATACCAATAAAGTACACACATTTAGAACAAAAAATATCATTGAAGTTTCCAAAATATTCAAAAAATACCGTTTTTTTTTTCATAGCACTTTTTGTTAACTTCGTCTTTGTCGGATTATGTAGAATACAGTCACCAGAGATCATTCACCGTCATATCATTTCACAACAGTTGTATACTCTCTTTTATTCCCCACTCGATCGTTCTTGAAGTAACATGAGAAGTAAGTGTGTAATAACATTAGTTAAACGTTCTTGCTTCCAAATCATATTATATGCCTCAAAACTAAAATTTATATATGTTTTATACGTACACATATTATACTTTAGGGTTAGCCGCTCATTAGTGTTGCAGCACAAAAGAGACACAAAAAACTAGACAAAGGAATGGTTGCAGATTTTGTGACACTACAAAGTTTGTCGGCGGACGATGTTTCACATAATCGGTTAATGAGAGAAGCGAGTGTGACATTATGTCATGAGAATTCCTAAATGTGGATGTAGAGGGTAGGAATTGTATTTAATTCTCAAAGACCATTGAGGGATGAATGGTCAGGAACACTCAACGTCATGTGGCTGAGTTGATAACGATTTGTAGTCAAAGTATAGAGGGGAAGAATATGTGTTGGAGCGCTTGAACGACTTGCATCCTAATTGATGGATTCTTAGTTATGTGTTTTTCTATGATTATATTTAGATACAAACTAATCGAGTAGGAGAATAAAAGAGTGTGCACAATTATTGTGAACTGGTATGACGATGCATGATCTTCATTGACTATATTTTATATAATCCGACAACAACGAAGTTAACAAAAAATGATTTAAAAAACAATGATATTTTTTGAACATTTTCAAAACTTCAATAATATTTTTAATATTAAATGTAAGCACTTTGTTGATATTATATATACAAATGATATACTTCAATAATAATTTTTTATACTGAAAAAACAATTATATTTTTTGAAAATTTAGAAACTCTGTTATACTTTTAAGTTATTTTTCCATTTACTTGAAATAACCAATTATCTGAACGTACGTATATTTCATTGGTATTCTATTTAGTGATTTTCTAATATGTACCCTAAAAGCATATATAATAAGCATTAATTGAAGGTATATATTACCATAATTAATTATAAAATACATTAATTATAAAATATATTACCATAATTACATATAAAGATAAAATCCAAACAAATCAATTTACATCCTAAATTTAAGTTTGTCCATGTGATATAGCACGCAAAAGGTATGAGCGCGTAGGAATTGACTTGGTGTCAATCGCTAACAAAAAGGTCCACAAACGCACCCCTGTCTCTGACACCTTTTTACCTTTTTTCTTCTATTTCGTCTTCGTCTTTTTCTCTCAAATCAAACCAAAATTCACCTCTTCGATCATTATCAACTACAGATTCCACTCAGATTCTCCTCATTTTCTCAAAAAATGGACTCATCGGATGATGAAGGAGAGGAGTATCTGTTCAAAGTAGTGATAATCGGAGACTCAGCTGTCGGCAAATCAAATCTGCTCTCCAGATACTCCAAGAATGAATTCAACATGCACTCTAAATCCACCATCGGAGTCGAATTTCAAACTCAAACCATGGAGATCGACGGCAAGGAGGTTAAGGCTCAGATTTGGGACACCGCCGGTCAAGAACGCTTCCGCGCTGTCACCTCCGCTTACTACCGCGGCGCTGTCGGTGCGCTCATCGTTTACGATATCTCCCGTAGCACTACTTTCGATAGCGTCAACAGATGGCTTGAAGAACTCAAAAGTGAGTTCGAATTTCGTATTTTACTAAAATTTGTTAATTTGCGATTATCTGTTTCAGAAGAATCTCATGTGATTAGATCCGGTTGAAATTGTATGCAGCTCATTCGGATACAACAGTGGTGAGGATGTTGGTTGGGAATAAATGTGATTTGGGGAATATTCGAGCTGTAAGCGTTGAAGATGGGAAAAAACTTGCAGAAAACGAAGGGTTGTTCTTCATGGAAACATCTGCACTTGATTCAACTAACGTGAAAACAGCTTTCGAGTTGGTGATTAAAGAGATCTACAACAATGTTAGCAGGAAAGTATTGAATTCTGATTCGTATAAATCTGAATTGTCCATGAATAGGGTAACTCTTGATAACAGGGGTGACGATGATGGATCAAAGCAAAATCAAAGCAGATCCTCTTGTTGTTCTTGAATCTTTGAGTAGTTAAGAAGTAAAGCAAAAAATGAGGTCTTTCATGAGTTGTATCTATGTTTATAGACTAAATTTGATTTCACATATTTAAAATAAATTTTTTTTTTCCAGAAATTGTTTTGTGCTTGAATTTTATTCAACTTATGGAAACCAATATCCGGAAATAAAAACATTCTTTGTGATGTTTGACCACAAATGAAACAAACTCATGATTTTTGTTTACAGAATCTCGTTCGTCTATATTGTTTTGAATCACTTGACTTTGATATATTGGACCATTTATATTCCCTTTAAAATAATAATTATTCAAGATGTATTTGCCTCTATTTAAAACTATATTTTTAAATGAAAAAACCGCAAAAATGATCACCGTGTTATGTATTTTTTCTGGAAAATGGTCCATGAAAGTTTTGGATTTGTGGTTTTTTTTTGAGCATTTTATATTTGTATGTTGTTTTGATCTCTACGAAAATTAAAATTACTAAATGGCCCTTATAATATTCATTTTCTATTTTTATTGTTTATATTAAATAAAGATAAGGCATGTGCAAACATTTCATATACAAGGAGTCCCACCATCTTTATACATCAATTACTATCCCATATCATAAACCCATTTCTGAGTTAGGGTTTCATATGAACGAATTGATGGTTTTTGAAGTTTCAAAATCAAAACTTACCATGACCCAAAGCCAATAATCGAATTTCGAGCTGACAATTTCAAAAAATCAAAACCTGCAAGTTGTCAACAAGAAGAAAGGAACTAGAGGCTGTAAGATTTTAGAATGTCTGCAAGATTCCGACGAGATGGTTGATTCAGTTGAAGATTATAGACAAGTCGCATTTTAGTCGAGACTAAATCCTGCTCATTTCGGAGTAAAGGTTGTGAGCAAGAGGCTTATGGATATCCTTCCATGGATCGTAATTGGGTATGGAGATGGATATATGATGGTGGATATGGCGTGGGAAGATGATTGTGAATAGTAGAAAAGGATGGTGGCACGGAGAAGATGACGGAAACAGTAGAGTTGGAGTTGTTTGTGTTTCTTTTTGTAGGTTTATGTGTGGCTGGAATCAAATCCTCATGTTCAAAAGGACTATCAATTCAAAACTTTAATAGTTTAGACGATTTTTTTGGAAAAAATGCATATCATAAGGACCATTATTGCAGTTTTGTCTTTTTAAATAGACGTATGGTTTCTCAAAGACGTTGAAAATAATTCTTTACAAGGTGATTAGTGAGTTAGATTGTTACTTTTTCCTCCTTCCATGGTGGTGCATTTTCTAGCTGTTCAAGTTCGGGATCAAGAATAGACAAAAAAGTAGGTATGAGAACAAGAAGTTATTGCAACATTATTATATCCTAAACTCATTGGCTACATGGGGAAAGAGGACGATATTGACATTCTAGTTAAATGTTTGTTCTACAATACTAGATTGAGATCATTGGACCAAAACCGAACTATCGGTTTTAAGAAAATTTGAACCCAACCCAACCCAAAACCGATGAGTTTGTTTTTTCGGTTTCTCTGGGCTCGGTTTCGGGTTTAATCGGTTTTAAAACCGCAAATTTTAAACTTCATAACCAAATACCATCCATGGAATTATTAGGTTCGGATCAATCCATATCCAGTGAATCGATCAACCCATATCCAATGAATTCATTATATAGAAGAATATATTAAGGTGAGTTTGATCCCAACTTCGATGTGGCACAACTCTAATATGATATTTAAAACACATCACTTAAACTCTCCTTTATACAATCAACCTTGATCTTTTGTGTATAAAAAGACAACAACTTACCAAGCCACCAAGAAGCTATATGTGTTCTTATTTCTCACAATATATCTATATAATATATATGTATAATACGTTTTTTTATGTATTTAATAAACTTCGGTTCGGTTCGGTTTTTCACGGTTTCTTAAATTTATGAAACTGACCCAAACCGAAATTTTCGGTTTTTCAAAATCCCAAACCCAAACCGCTGGTTTCGGTTTTCGTTTTTTCGATTTTTCAGTTTATTGGCTCGGTTTTGCTCATCCTTACAATAAGGATACCGCATTCAAGAGGATAGAACACTCGGCATACCAACCTCAAGCAATATCTATGTAAGATTGTAGGTGGATATTTTACAACATTAGTGAAAGTGTTATGCTCCTTGAAACTTGATTGTCAGTGGCGGATCTTGGGCCAGGAGGGGCCATGACCACCTCGCTTTTTGCCTAACTAATGTCACTATACAAGTTATATACATGTAATTAAATCCAAAAACTAAATAAATAAAATAAAATAAAATAAAATAAAAAAAAAAAAACAATCTCATGGCCCCTGAGGTGCATAAAATGCATCCAAGAAAATCAAATAAATTAGGAACTAAATCGATAACTAACAAAAATCCATGAATTACAGAAAGAATCAAGAGCAATCCTAGTAAAAATATAGAATATTGATATCTATAAAAATCTAATGTACAATTTATTCATGTAATCTTGTAGAAATACAAAACTCTGAAAAGTTATCTTTCCCACCGGAACCGGTGGATGCCTTCGACGACTAAGTGTTTACCTCCTTTGTTCACTAAACTAGTGACCTCCATGCATGCTCTCTCTGTTCTTCGCCCTTGCTGTTCACCTCCGTGCAGTCTCTCTATATGTGGTCCGCCCTTTTCGTGTTGTTCACCATCTCCGACTGGTGACCTCTGTGCAATCTCTCAATCTCCTCTTTAAACTTGTGCGTGCACTCTTTCTCTCACCAATAATTATTTTTATCTATTTCTTTATTTTCTCTCACTAGTGATTAGGCTGAAGGGAGTAGTAACATCTTTAGTATGTTGTCATATAGGATTTTTTAAGGCCACATAAGATTTTTTTTAGCCATGTAGGATGAATAGAGTGGTAACAAAAAGGTTGAGAGTGGTAGCATTTAATCTTTTTTATTTATATTTTGGAAAAAAAAGAACAGAAAAATAAAATCAACCAATCAAGGACCTTTATTTCCCAATCTCTTTCTCTTTCCTCATGCTAAGAGGTTGACGACTTTGTTTTGGCGAGGGCTTTGACACATTTGTAGGGAATGGGTTTAGCACTCTTAGCAAGCTGGAGGCGAGCATGGCTGGCGAGCCACTCCCTCTAGCCTTAAGAGAGATGCGAGATAATAAAAAGAAAACTATGAATTCCGAAAAGATAAAAGGTCTCCTGCCAACTTTTAAATATTTATAATTTTCTTGTTTATTTGTCTTATAAAGAAAAAAATTTACTTGTTATTTTAGTAACTTATTAATTATAACTAAAACATCAATCTTATTTTATTATATATATATATATATATATATATATATATATTATATATATATATATATATATATATATATATATATATATATATATATATTGAAGAATAATGACGGCTAACATATTCAGCATCCCTTATTATTGCTTATTAGTAAATATAATTAACTTTTTTGTACAACATTTTACTAAGGTCAAAATAATTACTGTCATTTTCTTAGCTAACTAGAGAATTATACGAATTTTATGATGTTTTAGTTTCGGCCCCTCTACTTATAACGCTCGTGTTCTACCCTTGATGATGGTGATACCATAAAAGCTCTGGAGGCTAAAAATTCATACAAGCCACCCCATACAGAGCACATTTTCTGAGCCTCTGCTTGTAATGGAGAATAGTGTCCTTGGTTGCATTAAATTGTTTCCTAAAGGAACTTCGGTGTGGGAGGGATAAATTTAGGGCGCAACATTTTTTGGATTCTCTATGTGGAGAGGGGTCTGATATAGCCATAGATCTCTTATGTGCAATCACAACAATGATTAATTTATAGCTAAGGAAAGATGTTTGGAAGAAATTGATGTGTCTGCTCATCTTACGTTGCTTTTAAAACCCGATAATATTGTATCCTAAACTCATTGGCTACATGGGGGGAAAGAGGACGGTATTGACATGCTAGTTAAAATTTTCTTCAACAATACTAAATTAATATCATTGAAACAAGGATACCACATTCAAGAGGAGAGAACAGTGGGCATACCAATGTCAGGCAATGATACCACAAAGGCTTTGGAGGCTAAAAATTCATACAAGCCACCCCATTCATTCATGTTGAACACATTTTATGAGCCTCAGCTTGTAGTGGAGAATGACAATGTCCTTGGTTGCATTAAATTGTTTCCTAAAGGAACTTCGTTGTGGGAGGGACGACTTTAGGGCATAATTTTTTTTGGATTCTCTATGTGGATATGGGTCCGATGTAGCCACAGATCTCTTATGTGCAATCACAACATTGATTAATTTGTAGCTAGGGAAAGATGTTCGTCGAGTTTAGAAGAATTGGTTGTGTCTGCTCCTCTTATGTTGCAATCACAACAATGATTAGTTTGCTCTCAGAAAGGTAATCTAGAGGTGCAATTTTACCATTATAAGTAAAATAGAAAATAAGGAGTTTGTTTGTTTATATGGAATGGAATAAGAAAGGGAATGGGGTGAGTTGTTACATTCCATGATAATGGTTGGTTGGCTTTATAGTGGACTAACGTACCACCTTAGGATTACATTATTTTTAGGATGATGAGATATGGTCAGTTTATCGCAAGACATACTTAGGCTCTTTTGGGAAGAATATAGTACATTGGAGAGAGCTCATGGGATTCAAGTATTGACACAATATTGTTCGAGATATATTTAGGTAGGCTGGAGTCTTTGTCAAGAAAGAGACACTTGTGAACTTCTTGACTGACCTGCTGGAAAAAAAGTCAATACTTAGACCAGCTGACGTTTTGGTTTTTGGAATGGTGAGAAGAAAATCATATGTGTGGATCTAAGAGGGATTTCCCCTCTTGTGGGATTGAGGAGTTGGGGTTTCACTATGTGGCAGATTGCTTCAAAAGTTACTTCATTAAAAGTGAGAAAATGGGTATGGAAAATCAACTAGTACTTATATCATTGTGTTTGATACTTTTGGTTTCCTTGCACAAGATGTTGTGGAGCTCCTTAATAAAATTCAGCGGATCATGCATAGTAATTTTAAGAGCCTGAGATCTATGAATAAAGTTTTTAAAGAAATAGTTTTGACATCCAAAAAGAGCTAGCAATACAACTTACTCCATGTGTTACCACCACCTTGATGTAAAAATGTCAAGTTTAAAAATATATTGTAATGAAGATGCGCTAAAACACAATATTTTTTTATGAAGAACGAATCTCACACTTTTCATATGATGAAACCTGTTTGTAATCAAGTCAGTTGACAATTCACACCAACAATTTTGCATATTTATGTTCAAACATTTCCTTTATCTTCCTATCATAAGTATTAAAGCCCAATTACATCTCAAGAAATTTTTACACTTCGTTCCTATCAACATTCATGTACCTCTTTCATCATAATTATAAAGGCAATATATCTTCGACTCCGATCCTTTTATGCATATTCATAGAAACAGGGGCAAGGACAGAAATATCTAGCATTAATGACACCAAAAACAAAACCCGATCAAATATAATAACATAGTCCTAGAAAACGGATCCATTTAGGTCGGGTTGAGATATGACAAACCCATGAAACCTGTCAAACCCAAGTTAAAGTTATGCATAAAAAATAATATAATATATTTTATGAGGTACTTGTTTTCGTAGTTAACATGATCATATTAACAGATAAAGTAAGTTTCTCATCTTTGTTAGTGTTTTTTTATCAAATCCAGTGTCCTTTGGTTTAAAACCGGAACTTAACATAACATATCCATAGTTAGCATACAAAATAAAAATTATGCATAAAAATAACATATTAGTATGTTTTATTAGATAACTATTTTGATGGTCGACATGATCATATTGAACATATCCATAGTTAGCATACAAAATAAAAATTATGCATAAAAATAACATATTAGTATGTTTTATTAGATAACTATTTTGATGGTCGACATGATCATATTGAACATATCCATAATTAGCATACAAAATAAAATTATGCATAAAAATAACATATTAGTATGTTTTATTAGATAACTATTTTGATGGTCGACATGATCATATTGAACATATCCATAGTTAGCATACAAAATAAAAATTATGCATAAAAATAACATATTAGTATGTTTTATTAGATAACTATTTTGATGGTCGACATGATCATATTGAA